AATGGTAGATAACGACTACAGACCAATGTAGGCTTACTACTTGCAATCTACATCCAGATCATTAACAGAATTAAAAAATGCTAGATAATAATTCATCTCAATAGATCACGTTGACGCTGTCAGAAAAGTCATCAGTAGAAAGCAATACGGGCTACTACTAACATGTGTTTGACTCGATATTCATCAGAGAAGTAACACTGACCAACAGATGTCTACATAGATGCAAGAGTTACGGTGAAAATATTACCATGGAGCCTTAAATAATGGAAAATATTACCATGGAGTTTTCTCACAAGCAAAGAAGCCAGAAAGAGGGATCCAATTGTCCTAAATCTCTTTGCACCGACTTTGTAAACGTATTTAACAAATTATATGAGAATAGGAAAGATTCAAATAGAGATGGTGAATATCATAATCATCTATGATTCGTAGATTATATTAATCTAATTGCTGAAAACCCTTGAAGAGCTACAACAACGAATACATGATCAGAAATCTAAAAACGGTCCTAGATCTACTTCGTACATACATACTGCCATTACTGGCTGACGAGTATTCGACACACATCAGAAGATGGTCACGCAAGGCGATTTCTTTCATGAGCTTTTCTGTGACTGAAAAGCCCGATACGTGATGTTATCTGCCTACCGCACTCCGGACATTCAAAAATCTCATTGCTTTGTTGCTTCTTTACTTTTTGGTTGTCGCTGTTTACTGAGTTTACAATTCTTCTCCAACGAGCTCAGAAAGGCATATTAAGATGCATAGTAGGCGCTACACTTACACATTCCGGTAAACCTATTTTTAGAATACTTAATTATCAGTTGTAATCAGATGTAACAGTCCCATGTATTGTGATATATGAAATGTGTGTTTTCGTTTTTAATTATAAAAGTACGTTTTTAAGGATTTTTAAAATGAAGCTTCTTTATGCGCAATGACGAGACTGTGACACGCGCGAGGAAAAATGGAGCGTCTAACAGCGTCATAACCTCGGGCCCTATGTGAGTTTGGGTGCTGAAACGCGGAACATCTTTTCATGATATTTTGACGACGTTTCGTGCACTAGGTACGAAACCTCATCAGCAATGAATCAAATCCAAAAATCGTCCGATTTAAATGAAATTTGGTATGTCGATAAACTGGACTAAGGCGAACTTGACTATGTACGACACGTGTCACTGTGATAGTTACTTTTGACGTAGGAAACGTCAAAAGTTGATGTCGTTCGATCTCGACCATATTTGGTGGGTAGGCTAAGATAGATACGACGCGACATTTCGTTTACATCTTCATGAGGGGATTAACGATTTGATATTGCAGAAAAATGTGGGTCGATTTCGGCATAATTGGGGACGGGCTACAGGTTGACGCCCTCGACGTTTCGAACCGATGGACGAAATCATTAGGATTTTTCTTAATTATGGGTCGATTGGAACCAAAGTCAGTACGTTACGTGGATAGAGCTGAATTTCATGACAGCTGCCGCCATTATTATATGACATTTGAACAATTCAATTTTTGAATAGATAGCCACATGTCTTCTCTTTATGCCACAGTGGCTGTGGTAATCACTAAATTTAACTTTTAGGCTATAGAAAATTTTTTGACATGTAGTTTTTTTCGTCCAAAAATGTAAAGTATTCTTTTTTTTTCTCAAAAACGGCGAATGTTAGGTATAGAGTGTTTAACATCAATATTTATAGAATTTTACAGAGAATTTAAATATCTAATTAATGGGGGGAGCCCATTTAAAATAAGAAAGTTGCTGTCAACTTCCGGTCTTTCTGGAAGTGCCGCCATATTGAAAATATTTTTAATTGATAGATCTCATTGTAAAACAATGATGTGCTCTCCGATCTAGGTATTGTGGTTCTCTAGAAACTTCTAATGCACGCTCAGCCTGGGACACCCTGTATATATATAAGAAAAAAGTGACGGATTCTATACAGTATGTGTCAAATTCTGGACATGAAGAATATATTTATTTATTTATAGTTAAAAAGTTTCATTTGTTGTTTCTTCAGGATATTATTTTCTTTCCTATATCTATGAAAGTAGCAATGCTTCTTTCCTGTCTTTACCGAGAATTTTATAGTTAAATTAACATAAGTAGTTTTTACCTTCTCGCCAACTATTAGAAACTCTAAAATACTTTTTCCTTTAATTTCTAATGGTATCCCTGTAATTTTGAATACCTTGTAAATATATAGTCGACGCCTTTAGGTTTCTGCATTCCTAATCAGCATTCAACAGTATAATAAACTATGTTAATTAAAACGTGAGGAAAATATCTCTAGTTAAATCTACAGTTTATAGCTAGTAAAAAGAGCGGATATATATGTTAGATAATAAGGAATAGGAAATAAGTTATACGAGTATTCTCCTGTCACTTTCTATACAATCTTTTAAATTTGCTGCGTGTTTTAAACTCTTCAAACCGTACAATTAGGTTATCGGCAGGTAAATAAATTATAATTTTAATTGGCTGATATAATTCTAACCATAGCAAAATAATAAATATAACAATAGAGAAAAGAATAAATATTTCTTCAAAACTGAACGAATTTGCGCAGATTATTTATTGCAAAATAAAAGTAAAATTAAATCTGTGCCTTTTAAAAAGTCCTACGTTTATTTGTACAAGATTAGTCATTGTTCTGAAAAAAAGTTGTGCGTGCATAAATATGCAGGGAAAAATAATTAATAAACTTGGTTAGATTACGGTCTTCTATATGGTTTGTTATACGACCATAACGTGTAGTTTTTTATTTGTCAACAAGAACTCTTCTCAACTGTGTTTATTCTTACTTGCATAGCTTTCTCCACAGCCTTTAATTTTTCTTCTTATTCTTCTTCTTCGATCATTAATGGATGTTTGCGATAACATTTTCCATTGCTTCTCTGTTCCGGGCGGTGTGTATTAACGACTGAACATCGAGTAGCCCTGTCCACTGTCTAATATTCCTCAGCCAAGACATTTTCTTCCTTCCGATACCCCTCCGGCCTTCGATCTTGCCTTCTATCAACAAATGAAGAATTAATATTTGGGGTTTCGCATTATGTGCCCCAGGTAATGCGGTCTTTTTCTTTTTAATCAATTCAAATAATTCACGCTCTTTGTCAACGCGTCTGAGAACTTCCTCATTTGTCAATCTAGCTGTCCAAGGTATCTTCAGGATTCTGCGATATAGCCACATCTCAAAAGCCTCCAATTTGTTGATGGTAGCTGCTTTCAATGTCCAACGTTCCATACCATAAAGGAGCACCGACTACACATAACACTTTACGAATCGTAATCTAAGGCTATGGTCAAAATCAGAACAGACAAGTACTTTTCGAAACCTCAAGAATGCCTGCCGAGCTTGTTCGATGCGACATTTAATTTCCTTGTCTGATGTCCAATCTTCCGAGAGCCAGATGCCCAAGTACTTAAATTTATCTACTCTTTCTATGGGCCTTGAGTTAAATGTTAGGATAGAGTTTATCCAGAAACACATCTGGGTTTCTGGATATAATCATAAATTTGGTTTTCTTGATGTTGATGTTTAAACCCATTGCTTTGCTCTGTTCTCCTACCTTGTTGACTTGTTGTTGTAGGTCGTGTATATTGTCTGCAATTAAGACCGTATCGTCGGCATAGCGTATATTATTAACCCACACTCCATTAACTTTGACCCCCATTTCCACGTCCTCCAGAGTCTCTTGGAAAATAGCTTCTGAGTATAAATTAAATAGGAGTGGAGACAGCACGCAACTCTGTCGCACCCGCCTTCTAACTGGTATAGGATTGGACATGGTATTGGACAATTTTATTTGTGCTGTTTGGTTCCAGTATAACTTCTCAATGCATTGGATGTCTTTATGATTTATATCAAGTCTTTTCAGGAACTGCATTAATTTGTGGTGTTGTACGCGATCGAATGCCTTTTCGTAGTCTATGAAACACAGACACACGTCCTTTCTCTGATCGTAGCAGTTCTGGACAAACACCTGTGTTGCAACTATCGCTTTCCTGGTGCCTAACCCTTATCTGAACCCCATTTGCCAATCGCTATGTCCCTTTCACATTTTTTGTAAATTCTCTGGTGTATTATTTTCAGAAATATTTTTAGGGTATAGCTCATCAGGCTGATAAGTCTGTGATCTTCACACTTTCTGGCAATGGTCTTCTTAGGCAAGGGTATAAAAGTAGAACGCAACCACTGTTTGGGGTAGTGACCTGTCTCATATATAATATTGAATACTTTATGTAATGCTGTAATGCCTCTTTCATCTAGCAGCTTAAATATTTCTGCAGGAATTTCATCTGGCCCAGCCGCTTTGTTATTTTTCGAATTAAGTATGGCTTTTTCAATCTCATCTTTAGTGATCGATGGGCCGGCTAGTGAGTTATTGATATCAGCTGAGGGTCTTTCATCATCAAAAAGTTCTTCTATATACTTTTCCCAAACATTGTTCTTTTCTATGCTTTCGAGGATAATCTGGTTGTTATTATTGATTGTCATAGTTGATCTAATTTTTTTATCTATGCCAGCAGTCTCCTTCAGCTTTTTATGCAGATTAAAATTGTCATGTTAGTTTTGCAGCTGTTCTAATTCTGAACATTCACGTATAAGCCATTCGTTCTTTGCTATTCTAATCTTTGTTCTTATGAGTCTTTGAATATCTTTGTACATGCCATCTGTTTTGTTCTTGTACTTTCGACGTTCATCCATTAACAACAATATCTCATCCGTTATCTATCTTTGCTTTTTGTTTTTTGCTTTATATCCTAACCTGTTTTGCATTGAATTTGATACAATGTCCATTATCTTTGTCCAAGATTGTGTTCGTTCTTCTCCCATATTCGGTATTATTGCTTAAATTTGTGTGTTGATTTCGTCAATCATCTCCGATTTTACTATTGGATCCCTCATTCTTTCTAACGCCATCCGTCGCTGTGTGGTTGGCTTTCTTTGACTCGATAAAGCAATTTTCATTACGGCCACTAATAGCACATGGTCAGAGGGAACACCGGCGCCAGGGTAGGTGCTGGCTCTTCTGATGGTTGAGCTGCACCTTTGGTTAATGAGGATGAATTATTAGTAATTATCAGAGAACTTTAATTTTTGCACTTATTATATTAATTGTTTTTTATTGGGACTTAACTTAGCTTTAAATTTAACTTCAGTTTTATCTCTGAGATATTTTTAATATACCCAATAATTATTAATTAAATTATATACAACCGTGTAATATATTATACATTTTAATTATTATAATTCGAATTTGCCAGAAAGCACTCTAATGAATGAATCACCTAACAACTTTAATAAACATGTCGTTCCAAAATGGTATGTTTCCAAAATGTCTTAAGACGGCAATAATCATTGCTCTGCATAAACGAGGAGACAAAGATGAAACTTCTAACTATCGCCCAATTGCACTCCTTCCAACGCTATCTAAGATCATAGAAAAGTTGGTTAAAAGAAGGCTGGTATCTTTTCTGTTTAAGTACAAAATATTTACTGAATATCAATTTGGATTTCTAAGCAACAAGTCCACAAATGACGCTATGTTTTCTCTCCTTAATAAAGTTTACTCCAGCCTAAACAACCATCATTCTACAGCAACAATTTTCTGTGATTTTTCTAAGGCGTTCGATTGTGTAAATCATAAGATCCTAATTAATAAACTGCAGCACTATGGGTTCAGGGGATTATTTCTCGAATGGTTTAAGTCGTATCTGAGCAACAGAAGTCAACTTGTGAGGGTGGATACCACGTTGTCTTCTAGCAAGCCAATAGAATGTGGAGTACCACAAGGCTCAGTACCAGCCCTCTTTTGTTTCTTCTTTTTATTAACGACATTGCTTAATAAACATCAGTGGCAAAATATGCCTTTTTGCGGACGACACTAGCTTCACTTGGAGCAACAAGGACATCACGGCACTTCATAGAATTATATCAAATGACTTAATCACCATTAAATCTTGGTGCGATTCGAACCTCCTGAGTCTCAACATTTCTAAAACTAAAGCTTTGTCGTATAAAAACTCGTTGCAGCCTTTTGTACTTAACAACACCACCATTGACGTCGTAAAATCTGTAAAATGCTTAGGACTTGTTGTGGACAATTCTCTGAAATGGGACATACATATCGAAGCTTTGTCGAAAAAATTGAGCTCTGCCTGTTTTGCATTAAGGTCTGTTTCTAAGGAGCTTAACTTGTCAGTGGCTAGAACTGTTTATTATGCACTTTTTGAGTCGCATCTCAGGTATGCCCTTCCATTCTGGGGTACGTGTTGTGCGACTCAATTTGACCGCATTTTCAAGCTCCAGAAGAGAGCTGTTCGATATTCACTGGGACTAAACAGCAGAACTCATTGCCGGGACTTTTTTAAAGAATTAAAAATATTGACTCTTCCTTCCTTATTTATATTTGAATCAGTTTGCCTAATACGTAAACATGTATCAGCTTCTCAAGAAAGGCCATCTCACACTTATCCACTTAGGAACGTGAAGCAAGATCTTTATCTACCTACCCCACGCTCAGAGTTAGTTAAAAGTTTAATATACAACTCGAAAAAAATGCACAATCACCTGCCATTTGAAATCAAATCCATAACATAATTTTTTCATTTCGCAAAGCATTGAACTCTTATTTACTAGACAAGGCTTTCTACGCCGTAAATGAATTATATTTTGAAAATCGAATTTGATTTTTTAAACACTGGTCTAATATTTGCTATTGCTATATTTACTAATGACATCGAAATTCATTTATTTAGAGGTCATTGATATTTTACTATAAACTAGCTAAATATTTTTGAATATTATTTTTATTTTTTTGTTCTTTGACATTGTAAACATTTATAAATGTTTATTTTAACAATAAGACTGACAATATTATTTGTATAATGTTTTGTATTATCTTTTGTTTGTTTGTTTGTGTACCTTGTTTTTTTACTTTGTTTGTTAGTTTACCTTTGTCTACAAATTGAAATTTTTTTTGACAATACAGGCATTTATTTATTTATATTTATTAGACTTTTTCTTCATCTCATCTGTTGGTTATAGGCTTGGTGCATTCTCCGCCGCGCCGGTGCTGCCACTGCCCGAGAATATCGTAAATAACGAACACATACCAATATACGGGTTTAAATGGCGTGTAAACGAAAAAATTAATATATAATTATTCTAAAAGTGTTAGAAAGTTTAATTTGGGGAAATTCTAAACAAAAAAATAAAAAGGTAAATATTTTGATATCTTCAGAAGGTCTAAATTGCACTATAATTTATTATTCGTTAAAAAACATTTAGATGAGTTCAACTATGGTAGCGAGCATAGTTTTATCACTAACAAATAGCATAGTTTTAACACCAACTAACCTAACCAAAACAAATGAAAGAACTGTATATTTCTTTTTTAGCGCCGGTAGTGCCAGTTACGATTCCTGTTTTTATGAAACGTAAAATGTGCATGTGGTTCGTTCAAATGAACGAATCGTACGAGTCGATTCAATATGAGAAACCGAATCGTGTGATTCGATTCACTAAAAAGAATCTTAATGCCCATACTACAATAATAGGGTATACCATTAATAGAACTGGCGTATTAGGAATGTACTGAGGGTATTCACTATAATAGCCTTTATAATTATTGATAAAATGAAAGTATTATCAATCTACTCTTTGGCATTATTATATTATTATTGATAGTCTGTGGTAGTGACTGGAAATGTAGGTAAACCTATTAATTTACTGTTTCTCATGGTATGTGTACAATAACAGTACAATTTATTTCTAATAGTCGTCTGTGCTATACTTAAAATATTATAGTATCTAGCCTAGTTCCAATTATTAAAACTTATCTTACTTTTCTATTAGCGATTCAAGGTTTTTGCAGTAAGATTTTACAGTTACTAGACGTTAACATTTGACATTACTATACATAAAATCCGCGTTGCTCCAATAATGAAAAGTGGATGATTGGAAAATTACACTGGTACCTAAACAAAATAATAAATTATTGTTTTACATTAACTGCTTTTCTAACAATTAATTTTTGATAAGTTATTTTAAAAGTTTGTCACAATCTTCTCCATCAATTTCTTCAAAAAACTTTCCCTCTTGAAATTCATTTAAAATAAATATACCTACAGATTTACTTAAACAACACAGTGAGTTTAAAGCGAGAACAGTTATAAGGATGCAAAAAAGTTAATCAACAATATTACTTATCAGTTGAATTGTTGTGTTGTCGTTATTAAGTCTTCTCGTCTAAAAGATATAACGGGAGCGTCTCAAAAATGGCTCATCCCTATAACTTTTTTTACTTTTTCAGATAAAAAAAAACTAGATTTGGTATGTTAGTATATGACATAAATTAGGATTCATTGACGTATTCAATTCTTTTCGGCCACATCCTGTTTCACCGGACATGATTACAACTCAATGATCACATGTTAACTTAGCAGTGGTTCCGTTATGATTTATTTTCCTTTAATTTTTCTTATTAATGCTATTATTCAATAGTTTTTTATTAATTTACTAATTGTTACGATAAGCTTTTACATAGTAAATATAAACTTAAAAATCAATGTAATCTTAATTCATTTATTCCAAGGGCTTTGTCTTGTCTAATTTTTGTTAAACTATTGTATCTAATGCCGAGTATACCTACAGATAAAATCAGTATTGTATCTTAATTTGATCTGAACACTTTACTTTCACTAAATACTGCTAACCCATAACGTTTATTATCGCCCAGTCCAATAGAGTACATTGAAATTTAACTGGTCAATTGTTTTTGCAAAGAGCGGTGATACGTTTTTTTAGAACTGGTACAGTTGTCTTGCGCAACATTTTACGCCTTTATTTAGTAATAGAACCGTGTGATTTGATAAAAATGGCGTCACAGTAGGCGTGGAATTAACATTTAGTGCTAACTTTACTATATATTTTTGACATTGAAAATTTTGTAGTATAATTTTTTGATTACTCTTAAAAAGTTGACTTTATACTAAACTTTATATTTTCTTGTTCTAGAGTCAAGAACAAAGCCAAGATGAACCAAAACCAGTCCGAGGTCGAGGTCGAGCAAGATTTACTGTAGCCCAAGACACAGAGGCAGGTCCTGAACAGACTCCACGCTCAACCAGCAGTCGAAGGGCTTCAACTAGAACTAGAATCCATTCAAACAATCCCAAAGCTGCAGCAGATAGAAGGGCCAGGCCGACAGAGTCTCCCAGGCAATACTCAACGGAAGTAGTGAACAACGAATCACCTATAGATTCATTCATTAGACAAAGTAAAAGCAGGGTTTTGACAGAAACTCGATTTGAAATCCCTAGCGCATCTCTACCCAAACGACCTCCCTCTTACGAAGCGTTAAGGACATCACCAGTTCCACCTGTTACCGAAAATATACCTGATGATGTCTTGACGCAAGACTTTGGTAGCACTGCCCGAGCTATATTGCAAGCTCGGGGTGAGGTACCTACCCCTCGAACCACCACACCTAGAGTGGACCAGGAGTATTTACTCAACAACTTTGGAAGTACCATAAAATCTCTTGCGGCAGCTTCACGGAGTTTTGCACGAAAAGAAAATACTGCTCGAAGAGGTCCTGTTTTACGATCAAAATACCAATCATAGAAAGAGGTGACATTCCTTCGCGTCGTTCATCAGTTCGAGGTGATCCTTTGCCTTCGTTGAAAGGTTCTGATATCACTTTAGACAGAGAGCAACCAGCTCGATCCAAAAGCAGCTCGAAATTAGTTGAAGCCAGAGAAAAACCAAAAGCTGAAAGTCAAAAAATTTTAAACGAAGAACCGTTAATCGAAGAGATTCCTAATGTGCCTCTTCAGCCAGAAGAACCAGAAAGTATTTCAGGTCTATCTGAGCAAAGCGAAGAGACTGAAACTCAACCTCTTGAAGTCTCCAGTGAGACTATTTTAGAAGAAGAAGAACAACAAGATTATAAGAAAACTACCAGTTACGAAGTTTCTACACCTAGAACCACTGAACCTTCCGAACCTCGCAGAGTTGTAAATGGTCGCCGAAATGGAGGAAGAGGAAGAGTTTCATCTACAGGCGTGTCTCAAACTGCAGCTCCATCAAGAGTAAGAATTACAAGACCGAGATCAAGATCTGACCCTGAACCTGCAGCCAGTTCGACTCGAATTAAAAGTACTAGAAGATACGACGATTCATCTGTTGCAGAAAGCAGAGTGCGAGGACCGTCGGTCTTCACAGCCGAACAAACTTCGGAAGTAACAAGTAGATCTAGACCGGGAAGGCGTATAGATACTGGTTATGACACATTCCCACAAAAAGTCACCATCGAGTTTCCTACGACAGTTAGAAGTAGAAGTTCCGGACGAAGAGTATCTGCAGAAGCACAAACGACTGAAAAATCCTCTGCAAGGAGTTCTAGCAGAGGACGTAGTAGGTCAAGTAGAGTAATAGATGTTCCTATTCCTACAAGTTCAACTACTGCTATTCCCGAGGTGTCTACTAAGGGCAGAATATACTCTGTCACCGAATCATCTTACGGAACCAGATCAAGTAACAGAAGATCAAATGCAGCAGATCAACAAGTAATTCCAAGCAGGAAGGAAAGTACCAGATCAAACAACGCGCAGGGCAGACAATCTAGGAGACAAAATCCTGTAGACAATTCCTTTCGTCGTAGTAGCTTAGTCGAATCATCAGCACCACGTGTTGCCGTTCCAGAATTAGGATCTGTGAATCGGGGAGCTTCCAAAACTCGAGTAGATTCGCTTTCTACCACTTTACCACCAATTACAGCAAATTTAAGATCAAGAAGTAGATTTTCTGAATCGCCTCCTAAATTAGACGAATCGAAATTGGAGGTATTACCTTTGTTCGAGCGCGAGCCTAAAACAGACTCTTCTGCTAGATCTAGAGGACAAAGATCTAGATCTAGTGTTAGTAGAAGACAGAGCCTTGTAGAAGATCCCATGCAATTCAGCGCTACGGAAAACGATGTAAAATTTGTCGAAAAACCAACGACGGCTTTTACTAGAGTTACTGTAACACGAACAGAAAGTGTAGAAGCGAGTACAAGCAGGGCTAGAATGAGTACTCGCGTTGCTAGCTCCAGTAGTAGTACCACACCTAAAACTACCAGTACTCCAAGTTCTACGTTAAGCACCAGAAGATCCACGGTTACTACCACAACTACGGGTACTCCAATTAGAAGATCAAGTTCTACTACAACGCAAAGTACAACTACAACAAAAAAGTGGGTTACCAAAGCGCCTCCTCTTATCAAGGAGTCTGTAGTAGCGGAAGTGAACGAGGTTACGTCGAAAACAACCTTCACGAGACGAAAGAAGGTTCCGAAAACGAAACCAACAGAATCATCATCCAGAGGGAGTAAGAAGGCTGAAATTAAACTAACAGAAGCGGTTAAGAAGAAAGGTTCTGAAGAAGATATCGACGAGGAGGACAACTATCCAGAGCCATTTAAAGCCCTGCTTCAGGCGAAGAAAAAGGAGGTTAGTTAATTTAGTTTATATTTTTGTTATTTCTGTTTTGGAAATTGTTTGGTATAAAGGTGACTCAGTGTTTTTTAAGAGATCCGTACGATTTTTACAATTTTTTTAATTTTATTAAGACATAGGTATTTTTTAAGTAAAAAATGACGGAAATGTATATTTCTTTACTGAGTAGGACATTCATACAAGTAAGGACGAAAAGTAATTACTCTTCAAATCTTTGAATAAAAAGATGAAGGAAGGAGTATAATGCTATACCATGCATTCATGCAGAATCGACGGAAAGAGGATGATAGGGTGGGTTTGGTCATCATTGGTTATCATTGACAGTTCTGTTTGACGATTCAATTGACACATTTGAATTTGATTTGAAATTTTGTGGATTTGTCAGTCTTTACTGGGCTTATATTTTATGTTATTTATTATTAACTCTACTTCTGAGAGTTGTTTATAGGTAGTAAATCTAGAAGGAAATTGTAGAAGAACTTAAATTAACAGTGACACTATTGCGATTTAACGAAAAAGATTGTAAAATAGTTTATTGCGTAGCGTGCGGCAGATCTCGGTCAAAAATCGAGGGAAATAATGGAATAACTTTTCGCTAGTAAGTGACTATACCGGGTGCGTCTCAAAAGTGGCTCACCTCTATAACTTTTTTATTTTTTCAGATAAAAGACGAGATTTTGTATGTTAGTATATGACATAAATTAGGACTGATTGAAGTATTCAATTGTTTTTGATCACCTCCTGTTTCACCAGAAATCTTGTCTTGACATGTTTGCTTGTAGCTGTGTTAAAAACACTAATTATTGTTAATCAAGGAGCTTTGGAAAAATATATTTGATTGTCTAATGTTTTTAGTGTCTTGTCCTGGTCGGTTAAAAGATGTCTAAATCATAGTTTTAATCATATCTCAATTTTTCCCAGTCAAATTGTCGTTATGAACGGTATGTTACAATTTCAAATAAGCCATACTCGAAAATGTCAAAAGTTGATAAATGATATGTCATTCTATTCAGAGTGTCATTTTCTACTGAATAACGTAATAAAATAGCGAGAGTGCCATTTAAGAATCAAAATTTGTAGTTATTTGTAGTTAGGAACTGACCGAAAACAATTGAATACGTCAATTAATCCTAATTTATGTCATATACTAACATATCAAATCTCGATTTTTCATCCGAAAAATTAAAAAAGTTATAGGGGTGAGCCACTTTTGAGACGCACCCGGTATAATATACATACGTGTAGTAAACCAATCATTTATGAAATTCACTTAAAATTAATTAAATATATATTTTTTCTTGCATTTTTGCTTTTATTTAATACTTGTCAAAGATTAGCTGGCAAAAAAATTAGATACGTCAATTTGACTTATCTGCTTCAGTAGCGTATCGGATGTTTGTGTTAATAAATAAATAACTTATCTATTTTTATTAGAATTGTATATTTTTACAACAATTTTAATAACTACCAACCGTTATTCACAACGTAAAGTAAAACAACAAATTATTGAGCCTACCCCACGTCTACTCTACATCATATTTTCACATGTTTTGAATAAAATTAGAACAGCACTGAATTTATGTCGGCCATTTTAAGAGCCCGTCGCGATCGATCTAAGATTTTTCATAAGCTCCTTCTTTAATCTTTTTATTCAAAGTTCAAAGCAGTTAATACACATGTAGGTGGTACCCCCTACAATTAGAAGTCATATTGACATAGAAATCCAAATTTATCATGTCAAAAAACACCGAGACACCAATTTTTCTCCAAATATGGAACATAGTTTAGAAATTATTTGAAAAAAATAGAAATAAAAATGAAACTTCTGTATCCTGTATTTTCGAAACGAAGCATTTTACTTATCTTCATCTACAGAATATTTTCCGAATACAATTTGGACCACCCTGTCTACAGAAGATTTTATTTTTATGATATTGATCTCAATCAGGTGTGATCTCTCTCTCAAGGTGAATATGTGTTAAATTTCCTGCCTTAAATTCAAAAATGAATTCATTATTGACGTTAATAATGCAGGAAATCAGAAATGCTACGATTATTATGTAAATGCATCAAATTATAGGGACCTAAAGTGAATCGATAAATATTCAATTAGAAATTTACTATTACACAATATTTCCGGTATTTGTGAGTTGATACAAATGTCTAGGATAATTATAAATTATGTCCTTTTCCTGTAAATTAAATTAATATTGTCCGGTTTTTCTCATTCATAAATTTATGATTTTAATGCTGATATAATTTATAACTATTAATCTGAAAGATGCGAACAAAGTTTTATTCAGAATGATTATTGAAATTATTAAAATTCTTTTTGAGGATACTCTAAACAATCTTACAATTCTTTGATTTTTAAATTGCTTTTTATGATTCTTTATAGTTATCGTATAAATATAGGTATACGTCTTTTAGCCAAGGCCAGTAATTGTCTTTATAGATCAACAGGGCGACCTTGTTGAGTATCGTATTGTAATAAAAATCTTTGTCTCTTAGAACAGAAAAAAAAAACAGACAGAGAAATTACCTAATAAGATCACTTCCTTGAAAAATCCCCGAGAAAAATATTTATCTGACCTTTTTGAGATGAGTTCTTAAAAACTATAACAAGTAACATTAAATAAACCGTTATTCGCTGTTATGTTACAATAACAGTGATCAAATGATATACACAACCAATCTTATATGGAATCACTCTTTATTTCTGACTAAACTTTTAACAAGGAAAAAAAATGGTATACAACTTCAATCCCAACGTTTCTCATCCAGAGGTACAAAGACAACTTCTGGCAGCTATAGGTGTGAAACCATAAGAAAAAGGCTTCGTGCTCGAGGGTTATACAATAGGAATAGGAGAGAGTTAACTCGGCAAAATAAAATTGACCGGCTAAATTGGTGCCTTCAACATCAAAACTCGACAATTGAGAAATGGCAAAATGTTCTTTTTTTTTCGGATGAGACCAGAATTGGCCTAAAATCAGATGACCATAGAATTCAGGTTGTCAGACCTCCAGTAAGACGAACGAGACTCCAGGCTGCCATATCTGTACCAATATAAAGGAGGAACCGTAATGTTCTGGAGAGGTATTATACGGGGAGTAAAAACTCCATTGTTATCACTTCAACAAACTTTAACTAGTCGGAGGTATGTGGATTTAGTGCTAGTACCAATCGTTAGGCTTTGGAGAGCTGCAATTGGGGATAATTTTAACTTCATGCACGATAGTGCTCGTCCCCATACCAGCACAGTGGCTAGAGAACGTCTTGAAACTGAAGGTGTCATAATTTTGGACTGGCTTGCATGTCTGCCATATCTAAACCTTATCGAACACTTGTGGGACCAGCTAAAAAAGGGTTAGAACTCATCGAAACACTCCAGGAAATCTCTCACAGCCTGTTGCAGCAGCATTAGCAGAATGAGAAAACATATCCCAAGAAAACGTTGATAATTTTATAAGAAGCATATACATAAGGGCTAGAGATAAAAACACAGATTATTAAAATTATTAATTTTCTTTTTTTTTGCTTTTTGACCATTAAAAATTTAAATCTTATTTCGTTTCAGAAACCAAAAAAATACCATTGTGTTTATTTTAGGAACTGATTATTATTTTTAATTGCTATATGGATTATTTTTCATTAAAAGTCTTTGGTAAAGACTGAGTTTTGTTAATATAAACACAAAATGTTCATACGTCTCAAAAATTATGAAAAATAATAGATGATTCCTTATAAGTTTAGTTGTGTGTATGTTATGCTTGCTTCATCTACGTTCGTCACTGGTATGGTGTCACTGGCACTGTGTAAACACTTTTCTGCGCTAATCACCGACACGAAAAAGTGTCCATACGGTGCCACTAACATGCCAGTGCTGGCGTACCAGTGAAACTGGTGCCAGCTATTGGATACCTGTTTTCTTGGCACACCTTGTATAACCGATAGATTCTACTGATCTATATTTGCAGGAGTCAAGGTCGCCGCCTGCATCTAACAGAGGCGCCACCAGCACCGAGAAAGCGTTCGTGACTTCTTCGAGTCCTTCGAGAGCGTCTTCGACGGCTCGTGTCGTCACGACGGCACCACCGACCGTCGTTAGAAAGCCTCAAGTGGTCAATGAAATCGTAAGTATACACGAATCAATGAAATTGGATAATGTCATTATCAGAGAAGAGCCTTGAGGATTGCTACTAGATTTGCTATTAGTTACAAGTGATTTCATCCTAATTGTGATTTATCTGTATATGATTGTTCTATACCATTTGCTCTTACTGATCGTATATTATCAATATATTAATTGAACTTTTAATAGTTATATAGTATCAAGTAAATTATAATGGCCGTCTGCACCAATTTGCATTTAAACAACGTTTAAGTAATCACTGATTATATTTTAATCGATGATTATTTTTGTTACACGTACCCAAGGATACTATATAGAGATAAGGATTGTTCGATTCCTCTCCTCCTGCACTGTTATTTACTGTAAAATAAAACACTAAATCACCACAATACACCAAAACACTTTTACTTTTACACTGGACGCGCGTTTCGCTAACCATGTTAGCATCATCAGCAGATGATTACAAACTGTGTTTTGAGTTTATAATCATCTGCTGATGATGCTAACATGGTTAGCGAAACGCGCGTCCAGTGTAAAAGTAAAAGTGTTTTGGTGTATTGTGGTGATTTAGTGTTTTATTTTGCTGTGTAACCCCAAAGGTTCTAACCCTCAACTGTAACTGTTATTTACTGATATTTTCCTCCTCCTCCTATGTGCCTTCTCTGTTGAGGTTGGCGGTTAATATGGCATATGACTCTCTATCCAGAGCTTGGTGAATAAGGGTGATTCCATCGGTGTGGGTCCAATCTCTTATGTTACGTAGCCATTATTTCTTTTTCCTCCCTATGCTACGTTTTGCATCGATTTTTCCTTCTATTATGAGCTGTAATTCTTCATATTCTGAGTGCCGCATTATATGTCCAAGGTAGGAAGTCTTTTTGATTTTAATTGTGCCTGTTAGATGTGTACGAGTTTTAATTCTGTTTAAAACTTCACAGTTTGTTGTTCTGAAAGACCAACTTATCCTCAGCATCCGACGATATATCCACATTTCAAAAGCATTAAGGCGTTTAATGTCTTCTTGTTTTAGCGTCCATGTTGAAGTAGGGGCCATATATAACATTTTAATGTTCTTAGCCTCGTTGGTATAGCTATAATCGGATGGCATAAGAACTTCCGCATGTTGAGGAAACCAGCCCTAGCTGTTTCAATCCTTCTTTTGATTTCCTTAGAGTGATCTAACTGGTTGTTTAATTCCCTGCCCAAGAAAATATATCTCTGCGTGGTTTCGAGATGGACGCCGTTTATCATTATGTCGGTGTTTTCGTTGTCTTGCGAGAATGTCTGTTGAAAATCATAGTTTTTGTCTTGACGGTGTTAATCTCTAGATTCATCCTAATATTTTCTTCTGTCAGTTTGTCCATTAGGGTTTGCAGCTGGTCTTCGGATTCTGCTAATACCACGGTGTCGTCTGCGTATCTTATATTGTTTATACTTTTACTATTTATTTTAGCCCCTTCTGGACAATTTTGATTTGGATTATATATTCGGCATAAACGTTAAACAATAATGGTGACAATATGCATCCCTGTCTAACACCTCTTTGTATGTCTACGTATCTTCTATTTCCTTTTTCTGTTCTGACACAACCTTTGTGATTCCAATATGTGATATTTTGGCATACCGTTATTTTTACGTATCTATATTAATATATAAAATCCTTAAGTGACTGACATACTGATTAATCACGATCCTGCTTAAACCACTCAACGTAAGAAGCTCAATTTTGGCATACAGGTTGATTTTAGGGTGTAGAGCTTCGATAAGAAGGGATTTTTCGAAATTCCAGTTCTAAAAGGATGAAACCACCCCTCAAATATTACAATATTTTTTATTTAAAAAACGGTCAAGTTTCCGAAAAAACGCATAACTCGTATATTTTATTTTATTTTTTTACATATTTTAAGATTTTTTAAAAATGTATACAGTGTGTTTCGAAAAATCTGGTTGATTAATCACGATCCTGCTTAAAGCGCTTGACGTAAAAAGCTGATTTTTGGAAAACAGATTGACATTAGGGCGTAGAGGTTCGATAAGAAAAGATTTTTCGAAACTCGAATTCTAAGGGGGTGAAACTATCCCTCAAATATTAAAATAATTAAAATATTTTTTATTTAAAAACCGGTGAGTTTTTCGGAAAAACTCTTAAACACGTATATTTTATTTTGTTGTTTTACATATTTTAAGATTTTTTATAAATGTATACAGGGTGTTCCATAAAATAAAGCTGATTTTTGGCAAACGGATTGACTGTGGGGTGTAGAGGTTCGATAAGGAGGGGTTTCTCGAATCTCAAATTTCAAGAGGGTGAAAACGCCCCTCAAATATTACAATATTTGTTATTTAAAAAACGGTTAGTCTTTCGGGAAAACGCTTGGACAAGCATAATTCATTTGGCTTTTTTACATATTTTGAAATATTTTAAAAAATCATACAGGGTGTTCCAAAAAGTTGGGTAATTTCTTAAACACGATTCTGCTTAAACTGCTTGACGTAAAAAGCTTATTTTTGGCAAACGGATTTTTCGAAAGTCAAATTCCAACGAGATGAAACTACCCCTCAAATATTACCAAGTTATATAATAATATCGCCATATTGTTTTTTCTCATGCTGACATAAATGTGAGAAAATTTTATCCAGTTTGTATGTTAATGGAAATTCTTGCTTTGCTTTTTATCATCACCATTACAAATGATTAATTCGACGCGAACGAAGTCGCTGGTATACGCTAGGTAGTTTATAAACGTACACATATTAATTTATTATTTATATAAAAAAGATTGTAACAAATAGAAGTATTGACAATATTAAGAAATTTTCAATATTTGTCATTGCTATGTATTTTCAACAGTTTCAGTAATTTACCTCTAATTAGGGTACACGTTTCTAACGTTGCAATGTGGTGTGAAATATATCAAACAGTGCAATGGTTCTTTAGATTAGGTATAATTATTTAACTTTCACGTAACAAGACAATTGTAAAATATTAAATGACACTTGTTAGTAAGCAAGTAATATCAATTTATGGTGCATTAAGAAAATGTATTAGTGTCATTTTTTTCAATTTATGGCTTATATGACCTACTAGAACATATTTTAAACAAATTACTTCTATATTATATATCATAATCGTTACATGAACAAATATATATTATTTGTAAATACAAATGTTACATTATTTTTGTATTACACTGCTTAGTTGTCACATTTTTTTCTAAATACATATCACAAAGTTGTGTCAGTAATTTTGTTTCACAATATTAATAAAATATATGTTATGGAGCAGAAAAAAAAACTTTATTTCATATGTGTGTTGAAGGGATCAAAAGTAAAGGCATACTTTTAATGCTAAAATTGCTGTAAATCTTGTGCTACTTGTAAAGGGCGCCACCTACATATTTTTAACTGGTTTGTAGAGTAATAACTTTTCGTCCGTACCTGTATAAAACTACTGAGTAAAAAAATATTTATTTACCAGGTTATGTAGAAAAGGTCTCTTGGTAAAAATCGCTACGAGTATAGTTCTCGAGATATTTGGAATCGAAATTATGAATACCTGTCGTCATTGACATAAATTAAACTGTTACATGTTGACTAAATAGTTAGATTAGACTGAAATCATAAATTTGAAATGTTTTTGTGCCGAAAGTTCAACAGAAACTGTTTTATTCATTACTGTAACTTCAGACCAGAACATCAGAAATACACACACATACTAAAACAAGGAAACTCTTTAACATTTTAAAGCAACTTTGTTAATCTGACGAAGTATTTTAGTATTTCTATTAGTTCAATAATATTCAGATTCATCAGGGTACATTTAATGTGGTGATGGTGGTGTAAGTATTGACGTTATTTCATTAATTATTAGGAAAAAATCGGAATAAAAATGAAACTTCTACGATGTATCTCCGAAATTAAGCATTTTAGAACATAAATTTATACGAACCTTTTTTTTTACTTATTTTTATCTGCAGAATATGCTGCCGAAGTTTCCGGAATACAGTTCGGACCACCCTGCAGATGGATATGCCGTATGATCGAAAAAAAAACGGCGTCAAAGACGGCTGGGAATGATTCTTCTTCTTAAGGTGCCGTGCAGATTTCTGCTTAGGCGTTCATCTTTTTCTTCCTCATCAGCTGCTTGCAGTCCTGTATGCCTGTCCAATGACGAATATTTCTCAGCCAGGATAGCTTCCTTCGGCCTATTCCCCTTTTGCAGAATCAGACGTTGAAAGTGATAGCGTTCTCCACGTAGTATGTGTCCAAAATAGGCTATTTTACTCTTCTTGATAATTTCGAAGAGTTCACGTTCTTCCAGACCAGCTCTTCTGAGAATGTCTTCATTCCTCACACGGTCGACCCAGGGCACTTTTAGCATTCGTCGTAGGGTCCACATTTCGAAGGCTTCAATTCGGTTTATTGTTGCTATCTTCAGTGTCCATGCTTCCACACCATATAACAAAACGGACCAGACATAGCACTTCACCATTCTGTATCTAAGGCCGAAGTTCAAGTTCCTATCTGTGAGAAATCTTCGCAGTCTCAGAAAAGTAGATCTTGCATGTCCGATCTTGCATTTGATTTCCTGATCTGGATCCCACGTTTCGTTAACCATGCATCCCAAATATTTAAATTGTGTGACCTGCTTGATGACCTCTCCATTTAAGTAAATTCTGGTGTTCGGAATATTGTTTCTGCTAACAGCCATAAATTTAGTTTTTGTAGTATTTATGTTTATACCCAGTCTTTGGCTTTCATTGTTAACCTTATTTAGAAGGATTTGGAGATCATTTGAATTGTCTGCCAATATCACTGTGTCATCCGCATATCGGATATTATTAATTAGAATGCCATTTATCTTCAAACCAATGGGACTATCGGAGATTGATTCAGTGAATCTTTCCACATATAAATTGAACAACATTGGAGACAGAATACACCCTTGCTGGGACTATCGGAGATTGATTCAGTGAATGCTCTTTCCACATATAAATTGAA